GCGGGCGATCGAATTTGGGATTGAGGAGGGTTGAGAGACGGATCGGAAGTGACTCACTCGGATACAAGATTAACAACTAAAATAACCGATTTAATTCAACAACAAAAAAATACATAGCTCTATGCTATCGAGTAACGGTCGAGAGAGTTTACAAGAAACCGCGAGTTGGTATATATATCTTTGATGCACTTAATTGTGCGGATTCCGATCTATTCCTTTTCTGACGTTCGTCGGTCGTTCGGTCGGTTGGAGCGGTTAGGGAGGCGTTAATTTTTTTTCTTAGAACGGCTGTCAACCCCAGGGAAATTGGAGGGTATAAAAATCCGGAGTTCGAAGTTGTCAAACACCACATAGTATGAAATCCTTGCTACGATACCTCTTGGGTTTTCAGGGCACTTAATTGATACTCTCGTGAACTCTCGACGATCCTTTATACTTGCGTCACTCCTTTTATACCTCCAAATTACGTTAATTTTTTCATCAATCAAGAATTTTTGATAGTAGTTCCCAGTGACACATCTGATAAGTTCCCTGAGAAAGGAAACGACTCCGAAGAGAGATATGATCACTCTCCGGTAATAAAAAATGGAAAAAATTTTCGAAATACGAAAAACGAATTTTCTCTCAAAATTCGTTACGTCCGGTTCCTCACAATACCATTTTTGATGGTGAGAATTTTCACGAGAATAAATGAAAGTGAAAATAAATTAGTTAATATTGTATTGAACGAACTTAAACGACTATTAATTAAACCAATAAAGTTCATATACAAATAATTGGTGTGTTAAATTTAGCAATATGCTAGCAAACTATGGAGTTTCTCATGTTCTCTTTAATGGTTCTGAGCGAAATTGGAAATTTGGTCGATCTATCTTAATGTCAAATATTTTATTATAACTTAATCGACTACGAGAACCAATATATACAAAAAGCAAAATTCCTTAACTGGTATTTAGTTAATATAATTTTTCCATCTTCATTGGTTATATTTATTCAAAAATATATTTCAAAGTGAAAATATTATTGCATATAAGATATGTTGCCAAAATATAATAAAATAAAATATGTTTAGTATTAGTTGCATATAAAATATATGCAACTAAGACTAAATAGTTTTTATATGATAATTGATTGAAATTTTTTCAATATTCACAAATGGCAAGTGTAGAGATTGTTTCGAGCCAATTTCCATTTTTCACTTTGTGAATGCAGAGAACTTGAGGCTCTTAGAGAGTCTTTACTGAAAGGATAATAACTTATCCTTTCTCAAAGACTCGAAGCATCTCGAAAGAAGAATTATATCAATTAATTTTCCAACCAAGCTCTATTTTTATTTAAAAATTTATAACTCTTTTCCAAATATGTAAGAAACGTCATATATAATGTTAAATTTAATATTATTTGATTTACGATGTATTCGAAAATTTAATTAGGGGAGACCGGGGCAAGATCGGCATGTTAAGCTTTACTTAAATTTTGTGTAATAAATACTGCTGTAAACTGAAAAAAAAGCTTTGCATATTGTCTATTGGAATGTTACCTTACTATAGAACTGGTTAAAATCAGTTTGGAAATAAAAATAATTAAAATAATTACAACTTTACAAGAAGAGAGAAATTGACGAAGTTGCCCCGGGTATTGGGGCAAGATCGGCAACTTTTCTCTTTTTGTAAAGTTGTAATTATTTTAATTATTTTTATTAAAGTTGCCCCTGGTATAGGGGCAACAGTAATGGGGCAAGATAGGCACGTATATAAAATTATGTTATTAACAATGTATAAGTTGGAATTCACTATTAAAACAAAGAAATACAAATCCAACACCTATTTAATATTATTCCAACGAAATGCAAGTTCAAAGACATATATACATGAATAACAAATGCAAACATGTTTTCATTTATCATCTGTTTGATTTTTATCCTTTGCTTCTAATGTGGCTTTATGTTGCCGATCTTACCCCGCTAGTCATGATTTCGAAACATTAAGTACAACCCTGCGAACAGAATGCCAAGCCACGATCTGGCCACGTGAATAAGTTGAAGTTACATCCTTCTAACAGGAAAAGTAACTTTCGTTATCATGGAATTATAACAAAACCTGCCAATTCAATATAAATGGAAAAAAAAATTATATGGAATTGAACGAAAATGAAAATTTGCTTGATAATTCAACTACGCTTGTTGGAGAACAATAAAAACACTACACTCAACAAGCCACCAATAAAACTCAACTGCCTAACCTATAACCAAAGTCTCCTTTTAATTTGTTTTTAAAAAAAAGCGCTTGACAAACTTGCCCCGCATGCCGAAGTTGCCCCGGTCTCCCCTATATTTAACATCTATTTTGATCATTTATTTTGATTATAACATTCCCCTGGTATCTGGGCTTACCCATATCACATAAATAAATGTTTTTGATTTGATTTGATAATTTATTTAAGCTTTAAATAGTAATAGACTGTGCCTTATACTTTATGTAATATACTTAATACCCAATTATATATTTAAAGCTTAAATAAATTATTGGGTATAACAATAAGGTTTATTATACCATATCAAAATAAGCTAGCTTCAAAACTGGTTCATTACTCTACATTTTGGATAAATTATTTCGCTAAAAATAAATTCAATTTATGGAGAGACATTAAAAGGAAAGTTTTCCTTTCGATATATATATTAAAAATTACTGTAGGATTATTACTTTTATTTTTTATACTACAATAATAGAGTTGATTAGTGTATAATGCTTAGCATCAAGGGCATTATGAACTATACACTTTTCAACGATGTTCATCTATCATCCATGGTAGAACAGTCAGCATGGATGAGAGATAGAGAATCGAATTCCTCATGATAAATTATGACGGTCTGGATCAACTTCAAATTGTGTCACTCAAAGCATATACACAGTATTGTATATCCATTATTGGTCAACAATAAACGTTTACAAATATTGACAAATAGTAAATTATAACAAAATTTAATACTTTTTAAGTTTAAAAAAAGGTAAAATTTCAAACAAAAAAAAACAGAAAATAGATTTATTTTAAATCGTCATCAGCATTATGAAGCAAAATTTCGATAGAAATACATTAAAAACCACTTTTCATTCAGAGTAACGAAAAAAGTTGTTTGTTTAAGACGTTATACAAAAAGAGAAGATAAAAATCTATAGACCCATACAAATATATATAGATCTTTTTTTGTACAAGTTTATAGATCTTCGGACTCAAAAATTATAACTGAATTTCTTACTTCTAAGTAGTTATAGTTATAAAATACAAGAGGAAAACTGGTAATTTGAGGTCTGCAAATGAAGCATTCAACAATTAAAATTTTATTTAAATCAAATTTCAAGAATCGAAAGTTGTTTGATATTAGGAACTACAAGAATTGAGCTTAACCTTATCAATTTATACGATTGGTAGTTTCTATATTTTAAACTTTTTAATATGACACAGAACTTTTTGAAAATCTTACTTTTTAATAAATTAATAATTAATGAGTAATTATTTATTATGACATCGTCACAATGCCAGGCTGCAATTTGTAATCGTATTTTTAATTTATTTAATTTAAACTGTATTCTCTCAACCTCAAATTAGTACTGTAATGTCTTATCTTTGTACATCATACTTTTCCGTTAGCAATGGAGTTGTGCCGGTCATCTATCTAACGCCTTCAGGGGAAAATTTTTGAATTGAAATAAAGTGACTTTCCGGTTTGCATCGGAAGTTCGTATATAGTTAATCGGACCAGATATGAAAAACTTAGGAGTCTCCTGCCCCTAAGTTTTCTATATCTGGTTTTGACTTTCATGTATCATGTTCCGAGATTAAGAAAGGACAGACAAAGGGACAACAGTGGGTATTTATAAGTCTTTAAATTTTTAAATTGCAGCCCAAAAACATCTTAAAGTGAGACTTGTACAGAGTAGAAGTCTTTAATATCTCAACGGTATATTCGAACAATAATTATATACTTTCTATATCTGCAAAGCACTATGGATTGCTGGAAACTTAATTAAGCATTTATCAAATATAGTTTGTGTTTCCTTTTAATACTACTGATACTTCAATCGCTTTTACAAGCCATAGATGGCGTTAAGCGAAAGTAAAATCAGATAAAAATCGCACAGAATAGAGGAATCACTAACAACTATCATAGACAATCCAAGTGGAAGCTTACTAAACAGTAAACACAATGCCATCTGTGGTCATTCGGTGAACAAGTCTGATGAACGTAGCAAGTTTAAGTTTCCTCTCGTAATTCTGTTGGAATGCCAGAAAATAGGTAGTGAATCCGTTATTTGTCATCTTGAAAAAAAAAGACAAAACATGCTAGTAATCATCATAGCGAGATGCATACAAAAAATAAAATTATAGTTATTTAAATAGATTGATTAAAAATTTTAAGTTAAATTATTTAAATTAAACATTAAAATAATTTAATTCGTGTGATGAAGTTGTTATATTCTATTAGTATGATACAATTATATCGCGTATGTCGGAAGACAAACCAAATGACCGATATAACCGATGAATCTATTCACTTGTTTTATCTATTTTCAGTCTACATGTTGATTCACTTTCTTATGGGTTGCTTTTTACAAACCATAAAAAAGTAAAAGGATGGTAGTTTCAAAGTCAATGATTATATGTTAGTATAATTCCAATGGCAACCGAGTTTTTAAAAATTATTGACTAAAGCTCGTTTATATTTAGAAAAAAAAAATGTCATCATTTTATCAAAATATAAGACCTTTACTAAATTATTCGAAGTATCCAACTTTCTTTGAATTAATTGCTTTGTATTAAATATTTCTTTTATTAAATTCTTAATCTACTTCATAAATATTCCTGATCTCTTGATTTCAAATTTACATGGTAAATTGCATTTCTACATGAGGAAAATTACAACTAACAAGTTTCTAATAATAAACTAATGATGTTTAACAAGTAATCATTAATTTAATTAATTAAGGATAACGAATGATGCTTTACCAGCAAGCGAGATTTAATCTATCCTTTGGTTCGACTGAACTAATCTTTTCTATAGCAGCGCGAGCGTCACTAGTGCAAGCTGCTTGTTCGTTCCATACCTCAGCCAGACAAGAAGAGTGTTTTAATAAAGCTACAGAAAGAATTAACATTTTTAAATAAATATAAGTAAACATATTTTAAAAGTCGTGCGATTAACTCACTTTTTCTCAATTCATTTCCTGGTGTGCAAAATCCCTTCAAATTTTCTTGAGATTCTGCGGTGGCGAATGAGATCAGTTGCTTATACAATGGAGTGGCGCATCTGTTTGTGTAGTTGTTAGCGCAGTCGACTGTTTCTTTCAGATATCTGCAACACATCGATAATAAATTGTTAGAAATTCAACTCTCATCTGTAGAAATTTGTAAGATTGTATTGATAAATTAAGGAGATAGACATCCTTACGTGCATTGGGTATCGATTTCGGCTTCGTTCTGTGGTACGGGATTATTTTGTAAAGCCAATAAGCCAGTTGCAGCACATAAATCCATCTCTCTCCAATGGCAACTTTCTTGTTTTGATAGTTGCACTGCAACAGAAAAAAATTAAATCATTAGAACTCAATATTAAAATTTCGAAATTAATAAATTTTTGTGCTTAGAAATTAATATAAAAATTACCAACAAAGTAAATTTCAATTAAAATTATTATAACTATTTGTTTTTGCTTATCAGCCGTAATTAAGATCTATTTTGTAAAGACACGAATTATAGAAAAAATAAATCTGTAAACTTAATTAAACTTATTTCTTTAATTTATTTAAATTTAAACGCGTTAAATTGTTATTTTTTGAATATTTTGTTATTTTTAATAATCAAAATTTTGATTTATTGTAAAGTTTTAGAAATTTTAATTGAAAACTTTTTATTTATTAAATTCTATAACCGTGTGTATGTATAGTACATCAATATGTGATGTTTAATTACAAGTATAATGATAGATATAGTTGTAAAAATACTAATAAAATTATAATATATTAATTAATTACTTACCGAAAGCAACAATAAGGAGAAGAGACAAGACCTTCATGTTGAACTTGTGTAGTTACTTGTTGTGACTGAAGTAAAGACAATTGTGACTATCGAGATATCTTGCCACGTATTTATAGTTGAAGAAGTTCTAATTTTCCTTTCTTTTAATGATTATTTTTAGAAAGCAACCTCAACGTATTATAGGTTTGCCCAATAGAAGTGAAGGATACTTAACCTTGAAAATTTTTAAAACAGAAATCATTTCCAATGAAATTCTGACGTTGTAATGGAGAGTAACAAGAAATTTCGTCATAATTGTTATTAAGTAAATAAAATAAAGTAAAAGGAAATATCCGCTGTTTTCCTGTAGAGAATATATTGTGTTCAGAGCCGTGTGATTGTTTAATTTTTATTGGTTTGCCCAATTTAATTATAAGAAATTCCTTTAATTTTTAATTTATCAAATAAATTGTAGATATGCTTTAAAAAATTTAGTCAATATTATTCTTGTACAATTTTATTAATTCTAAAATTAGATTTTTAATATCTTTATAAAATAAATTAAGAAAATATTTCGAAATTTTACTGTATTTATTTCTACTACTTTATATAGCTTCAGCCATGTTTTTAATATATTATTTATTACTAAAGAGATATTATATTAATAAATATGTATCTTAAATTGCCCAATCTTAAAGGACTTTAGTCCTTTATAATTTAAAATAATTTAGTAAAAATAAGAGTTAAACATTTTTTTTGTTCCTTTAGCCTAATTATAGCAATTTTTTTCAGCCTCTAAGTTTTCGAACAAATTGTTTTTCTTGATACTAATTAGGCAATTTATACTTTTAAAAATATTATTAATTCCAGAATTAACTGTTAATAGCTATTTATACATTTTTTTATTTTTTAAATCTATTTATTTGCGTTTAATATTCTGATAGGCCTACTTCAGATGGAAGAAAAATATATTTTCTAGGATTTGTGCAATTTTATTAACATTTTTAAAAATTAAAAATGTGTTTATTTATTGAATTAAAAATAAAATCTTAAAATTGTAAAAATTATTTCACTTAAATATTTTATATAATTTTAAATAATATTAATGAAGGTGAGTGAGTCACCTTATTATCATTTTATTGAAAGGAAAAAAATGAAACGATGGGGAAAAACTGGAATTGCAATATTCCAGTTCACTTCGGACTAGTTTGAAATGAATGGAATAATGCCAATAGTTTCTGGATAAAATTTGATTTATTTTATTTAGTGGCTCGATAGGATCTAAGGAAATGTTTGTATTAATATATTTTTGTATCTGTTCTTTTGATAAATGATCAATATTTTTTAAACGAATTTTTTATGTTTTACATCTCTAGCTTATACTTTCTTGCTCTATCAAACTAAAATTTAATTTAAAACATTTTTATGTTATATTTTAGATTGTTTTAATAGTTTTTCTGCCATGTATAAGCAGCGGCTTATTCGTGTACAAGTAGAGTGAGAAGCTTACGTGGGACAGCTAATCATTCCAAACAGTCGTGAAAAACAACACATCATAGGATTATAAGAGACAAAATTTTCAAACACGTATTCTTCTTTAATGAATTTAGAATTTAATTTAACATATATTCGTCATTGTGATACGTGAGAGCCTTTGTCTTCTAGGGACTTGTGGGCTTGTATTCACTGCACATTTTGCATTCCCGATTGTGTACGCCTCTGTTTATAAGTGTTTATACAACATATTTCTGTCAGAAACGTTTTATTAACATAAAAATTACATAAAAAATATCGTTAGATTTTTGTACAGTAGGACCCCACCATAGGCGACCAATACGTTCTGAGACGTCTCTGAGCGGAAATTTGCCTAATAGCGAACCCTATTAATTATTAAGTAATGTATTTCCTACACTAACATTCCTATCATACATTTTAAAATAAAATTATAAGACAAGTAAACATTATATTAACAATGTATAGCGTGATAACGTAAATCATAACACTAAAATTTTTTTGAAAGCAGACTTTTTTCCCTCACTAAATCTAAAACTTTAGAGTAATTTTTTCTTCTAAAGTAGACACTTTACAGTTTATCTTTGGCTTATCAGAGCTTCCAGCAACACTATCCATGTTTCTTTGAGCCAAGTCTGAAGAGTAATTGGCGTAAATGAAACAAAAAGAAGTACTAACATCACACGAACACGTATTACAAGCAAGAACTCCGATAAACATTGATATGAGTCCCAGTGTTTAGAGTAAAACAAAGAAATGAGTCTTTCCCAGAATGAGCGTGAATGAGCGAGATGCTACGAGACTTCATCACCTTAAAAATTGCCGAGGATTTAGCACACAATTAAGAATTTTTACTTTACCTATTTTTTATTTTCTTCCTTTTTCAAGTGTTTTTTTTTTTTTTAAACTGCGTGTGGCCAATGTGGTCCAACTATAATTGATATTTTCATGTTTCAAATTGTTGAACTTTTAACTAACAAATAATATCTAAAAGTAAACTGATACATGTGAAACGTTTGATCATAAAACCTAATATCTCCATGTAATTTTATTTGATTTGAAGAGAGATACAAATCCATGTGATGTGGTTAAGGAACCAATCAGTGCTCACCCTGATTAGCTCCTATCGATTAGCCAAGTACATTTTTCTTGTTATCTTATTGTTACGGACATACAGTTTGTCTAATAGAATTTATACTTAATATCAATGTTTTACTTTTTTCACTAATTTTAAATATTTCAAAATAAACGAAAAATTAGTATAAAATTCTCGCTATAAACCACAAAATATTAACTTTAAAAAACTTAAATCATTTATTTTTTTAAATTTTAAACATACTTTGTAAATGTCACAGAAGGACTGAAGTAAAGACAATTGTGACTATCGAGATATCTTGCCACGTATTTATAGTTGAAGAAGTTCTAATTTTCCTTTCTTTTAATGATTATTTTTAGAAAGCAACCTCAACGTATTATAGGTTTGCCCAATAGAAGTGAAGGATACTTAACCTTGAAAATTTTTAAAACAGAAATCATTTCCAATGAAATTCTGACGTTGTAATGGAGAGTAACAAGAAATTTCGTCATAATTGTTATTAAGTAAATAAAATAAAGTAAAAGGAAATATCCGCTGTTTTCCTGTAGAGAATATATTGTGTTCAGAGCCGTGTGATTGTTTAATTTTTATTGGTTTGCCCAATTTAATTATAAGAAATTCCTTTAATTTTTAATTTATCAAATAAATTGTAGATATGCTTTAAAAAATTTAGTCAATATTATTCTTGTACAATTTTATTAATTCTAAAATTAGATTTTTAATATCTTTATAAAATAAATTAAGAAAATATTTCGAAATTTTACTGTATTTATTTCTACTACTTTATATAGCTTCAGCCATGTTTTTAATATATTATTTATTACTAAAGAGATATTATATTAATAAATATGTATCTTAAATTGCCCAATCTTAAAGGACTTTAGTCCTTTATAATTTAAAATAATTTAGTAAAAATAAGAGTTAAACATTTTTTTTGTTCCTTTAGCCTAATTATAGCAATTTTTTTCAGCCTCTAAGTTTTCGAACAAATTGTTTTTCTTGATACTAATTAGGCAATTTATACTTTTAAAAATATTATTAATTCCAGAATTAACTGTTAATAGCTATTTATACATTTTTTTATTTTTTAAATCTATTTATTTGCGTTTAATATTCTGATAGGCCTACTTCAGATGGAAGAAAAATATATTTTCNATATAATTTATATATTTATGTAAAATTTTCTATAATTTAATAACACATAAATACATTTAAACATCATATTTTATTTCAATTATTTTTATTGACATTATTGTGTAATATAAATTTACAAAATACTGTAATTAGTTTCCAGACTTCGATTGGTCAAGGTTAAATTTTTATATTTGCATTTATTAATCGGTTATTTTTCCACCTTGAAATATGTTTCGAGATTTAACAAGAAAAATAGGTCGTTGGTGACGTAAGAATCTTAATAGTAATTTTATGTATGACGTGATTGTTTTAACTTAAAAAGTTTCTGTCGTACACGTGTTTGAAGCACGTGCTTGTAATTAATTAATTGAAATTTATATATTTCTTGATCAGTTTGAAAAATTGTAAAATTAGATACTAATATTTTACAATATAAATATAAATATCTCATTTACAATTAAATTACAATTTTTAAAATAAATTTAAAGTTAAAAATTACTATTTTAATTATTATTGTTGGGTTTAGTGGGATATACTCGGTTCAGACCGGTGGTTGTGTACTATGCCGGACCAGAGTCAAGGCATAGCAACCAAAACAAAATTAAATAAGGGTGTTGTGTCAGTGTGTGTCTGTATTCAGGAATTTCCTAACAATGTGGCATGTATTCAATATAGTGGTCTTTTGTAGTGTGATGTATGTATTTCTACTCAATTGTAATATTCCCAGGCTTTTATGTAATGTGTGTGGTATCACAACTGTACAGGAGAGAACGACAGGTACAATAAGCACCCTTTCCATCCTCCACAGATGCCTTATTTCCCGGGCGAGTTCTGTGTACTTGCTAATTTTTTCAGTGCATGTGTTTTGTACATTGTGGGTGTTTGGAATAGATATGTCTATAATGTATGTGATTTTATTGTGTTTGTCAATGAGTGTGATGTCTGGTCTGTTGTGGTAAATTGTTTTATCTGTGATTATGGCTCTGTCGTAGTACATTTTGTGCGTGTTGTTTTCCAATACTGTCTGTGGAATGTATTTGTAATATGGTTCATGGATGTCTAATAATTTGTGTTTCTTTGCAAGCTCTTAGTGTATTATATTTGCTACTTGATTATGTCTGTGCCAAGAGCTTGCAACCAGAAGTGATGTGTTGTATAGTTTCTGGGATGATGTGACATTTTTTGCATGTGTCATTTGTGAGTGTTGTATCTTTGAGTATGTGTTTTCTGTAGGTTTTAGTATTTGTGACCTGATCCTGTATGGCAATCATGAATCCTTCCGTCTCCCCAAAGAGGCATCCCCGATCTAATCAGCTGTTTGAAGCAGTTTTGTCAACAAAATCCTGGACCAGGTCGTAAGGATGCCTGCCGCGGAGTGCCTTTCGAGCCCACGACTGCTTAATGGTGTCTATGCTTTTTATATGTTGTTTATTAT